GGGAACATGAATCAAATATGCACTTTTATTCATTTATAATAAACTCATAAAGTACATCATTCTGATTGAAGCTAAGGGCATACAAAACTGTCTAACAGTGTCATCAATAGATGTGCAATGAACAACAAATGAAGGAGAAGATGAGGACGTGGAGTAGAGAAAAATTGTTTCGTGGAAGGTAACGTCAAGACTTGTGACGTTAAGATGCACTCTCCCCAAAAAATTAATTGGTAAATGGGACTAAAAATGAAGGGTGAGGGCAATATTGAGGAGGTGGCAGTGTTTTCGTTCAAGCACCCCATTTTGTTGAGGGATGGTGATGCAAGTATGTTGTTGTACAGTTCCATGGGCAGAAAAGAAAGATTGCAAACCATTAGAGAAATCCAGACTCCAAACGAATACAGTGGGGCCTATATGTACGGAGCTAATAGTGGTTTATTAATGTGGCATAAAATACTACTAGTTCAGATATGTAAGTTACTTACAAATTCATAAACCAATCACAACCTCTAATAATTACAAGTAATTGTGTCCTTTCTTAATGGGTGTAATTTTTGAAAGGCAAGCTCAAAAAAAAATGCAGCTCTTGGGCATGGAAAGCTTTATTATTTCAATGAGATTTGATAAAGAAAAGATTGTCTTGGATAGTAGGAAATGGAAAACGCACAAGTCTGTGGAAGGATACATTGATTGGTGATGCTCCCCTAGAAAAGCAGATGGATCCGGTTGTCATTGCTAACCCGAATGAAAAAGTGGAAGAAATTATTAACCCTCAGAACAATCAATAGGACCTAAACAAAATCCGATCAATGTTTATTGAAATTATTGGAATAAATAAAAACTATTTTGAACCCCTCAAAACAGAAACAAAACCATATTTAATCTGAAGACTAGACCCTAAAGTTATGATTGTTTTAAAGGAAAAGGTAGGGAAAGGTATGAAATTTGTAAAGGCTTCCTTGCCTTTCCCTACTTTTTCCTTCAAACCAAACATAGCCTAGGGAGATTTTACTATCAAGTCTGCCTACAATCTTCAGCTTTATGATGATCAGGTTGATAACTCTCTCAGTAAAGTTAGTAAGAAAATATGGGGTCTGAGCCCCCCCCCCCCCCAAAAAAAGAAAAAAAAAATCAAATGCTTTATGTTCCTCCCTTTATCAAATAAAATTCAGTCAACAAAGTTTCCTGAACGATCGAAGACGTGAATCACATTTTCTTATAGTTTGAAGCTTAGTGAATTAAACTAATTTGAGTCGATCATCCGTTTTGAGATTTTTTTTTCTTGGGGGGGAGGGTTGTGAATAATTCAGTTTTAGATTGGTGGAAGGATTAATAAAGATAGTAAGAGGGAAGATATGGATAAAAAGGTAAGCATGGCTTTTATTCTTTGGAGATTAATGTGGGAAAATAGAAATGTCAAGTATCTAATAACAAAGTGCTCCCACCGCAGACTCTTTGGCTCAATTTTGAAAAGAATACAAATGCAAATATGTACAATGCAAATGCATACAAAATATAAGGCTTTGCACTCTAAACATTTGCATTTGTCTCTTTCCAAACTGAGCCTTATTGGAGAACATGATTTTGATGCTTCTTGTAAGGATAATGGGTTATGTGCAATAGGTTGCGATGCCAGAGATGGAGAAGGTCGAGTTCTGGTTACTAGAAGCAAAGCATTAGGTGAAAGTTTACAAGTGTCACAGAAGCTTGGGCAGCCTCTGAAGATCTCAAGATTGCTACTCTCTTTGCTGAGAATGATGTTATCATTGAGGGTGATTTGAAGGTTTTCCACTACCCAAACGGTCAAGCTGATTCAAGGAGTGTTACCTGATTTGTGGAAGGTGGAGGCCGCCTGGCTTGCATTACTTTCATGTCTACAGGGAAGCAAATGCCACAGCTGATTGGTTAGTAAATGTGGGTCATGGATCATCTGAGGAGAGTCGGAGGTTAGATTGGTCTTTTTCTTTTGTTCGCAATGCATCGACCATCATTGCATCAATCCGTATTCAGCCAATACGACCGATGCATAGCCAACGAAGGCAGATAAGAGTTGAAATAGCAGTGATAATACAAGGCCATTCCACCTGTGTCACATACAAAGGCCAAAGTCCCCAATACATATTAAAATCAAGCATCAAAATTTCGATACCATATGCCCCAAATCAGGCATATCATATATCGGCAGGCCCCCGATACACCTTATTATACAGGGCTTTTGGGGTTTTGACCATCAAACACCTGGTACACTTGGATGTGATACACATCAATACTTGAAACCTTGTTTTTATCTCTCTTACTGGATCAACTCGAGAGGGAAAGGTCAACCTCTTCTCGTTATCTGATGCCGGCTGAGCAGATGTTGATCATCGACACAACTCCATATGATGATTACAGTAAATGAGAACTTCCTCTTTTTTATTTTAAACACAAATGAGAACTTTCAAACTCAACATAAAATACAAAGTAGTTGCTGAAATAAAATAGTGGCCCATTCACTAAATTTATTTTCATAGTGCAATGTTTGTACAAGTACAACTAAAACATTTCCCCCCTCCTTTTGTCAACTTACAACCGCTCAATGATCAGGTAACGTTGCCTCGCTATCGCACGTCTCTGTAAACTCTTCAAATGTGAATGATCATGTTTATTCTGTCAATAACAACTCCATAAAAATCTACAGAAGTGACAAACATAAGCTTCAAATCTACCTTTTCCTGAAAGAAACTTTGAAGTAGTCGTAGTTGGCTTTACCTAGTTAAGCACAGAACAGTGTCAGTGGAGTAAGAGATTTACCTGAGTAGAGAGGACAGATACAGAAAGTTTTTACTAAAATCACCTATTTACAATCAACTGCTACTTGGCCTTTCAGATAATCCAAGCTTACATCCTCTTCAGGGCTTTTATGCGAATTACAAAAGGGTAATGTACATTTCTGCCACGTGTACAGGATTAGGAGATTAAGCTATGCTTTTAGCTGAGATTATGTCATCACAGGATTACATAGGGTGGGTAAACATTAAAATTTATAACGGTTGATTCCTGCAAAATCAAGAACACAAGGCACTTTCGTTAGTACCCAAAGAAACACATTTCACAGTTCACACATTGCCTATGTTCTATGCAATGGTCATAACTGATCAAAGATTCGAAGATCAGGTCTTGTGATTGTGGAAATTATATTATATGAACTCAAAGGTAAAAACGTGTTTCTAAGCCAATATTTGTACAGAACACTCTATGTAACACAATACAGCATTCTGAAGGCCAGAACACTCATGTCTGACCAGATTATTGCCCCATCATCACAAGATTCCAAGCTTAAGAGAATATGGATGCTCAAAGAAGACAATCAGTTTCTTGGGGAAACAGTCTTAAGCAATAAGAAATGTATAGTTGAGATCATCCAAGAGGCATGGTTTCTCATATACCTCAAGACTCGCTGGCTTCTAAGGCATCAGATGCATAATCAGCAAAATATCCATATTTCCAGGTGTTTGTGTGTGTTCACATGGAGGAATAAGAGTTTGCTGAGAAAATAAAAGAGACATTGTCTTTTGGTTCAATAAAGTTAAATAGGATAGTTACTGTTGTGTGTTGACTAGTTTATCCAGGTTCAATTAGACTTAACTCCATATCTTGAGATGCTGTCCAACCAGGTTCATATGCTTCAAGGAAACCCAGCTTTGCTTTATTCGGTAGATCATGGGGATGAACAAATGGGACCCCTGGTGGCCAACCTATCTCCATCCGTATGCTACCACAGGGGCTGTCCAGAGATTGTAAGTGGCCTTCACACTCCTTAAGATTACAGAACCTCAGCTTGATGCCCTTCTTGTCAGCAATTTCCTGGACTCGCTCCTTCAGTACCCTCTGTGCCTCAAGCCTCAACCTCTTGGAAGGTGGCAGAGGTTTACACCTCGTATTATTCTTCCTCCTCTTTAGCAGAGGCTTCAAAGATCCTGTACGAGCATTTCATCGATCCAAGGACCTGTTATTAAAGACTATTTACTAAGGGCTATTAGCAGTAAATAAAAGAAACAACAATCCAACAATGCTGTTCGGAATTGTGGGAAGACTGACAGATAACTAAATGAGTGTGATTAGCACTTGACAGAATGACCATGAGACCTTTTTTCTTTCTTATGTTTGTATTTGCATCAAAACTGTGAACGAACTTATACCACGCTTACTGCTTGATAAAATTGCACTGAACCAATGAAATATAACTTAGAAAATGCCTATTATGTCCCTGTGAATTACTATGAACAATTTTCATGAATTCATTCCATATTATCACCCAATTCCCCAATTAAGTTGTCAATTGGACCAAGGGTAATCCATCCTTATTGTAGCAGTTGAGCCTCATCCCTTTCAACAATGATTTTAAAGGAACCAGATGAGGCAGGATATATTGTTCAAACCAACAGTTAAGAATGTGGCCTCAGTTGATTCACGGGGACAAATCTTTCATCTCCTCAAGGTTATGAAATAAAAACCATTCTTTAAATGTATAGCATTTTTTAGTATGATGGCATACCGTCTTGGCCTGCTGTGAAATTATAATTTGGGAAGCTGTGCCTAGTAAAGAGTTGATCAGTCGGATGGGATCTCTGCATGAAGTCATCAACTGGTATTGGAAGCTGGAACTGAGCTTCAATGCCATGACCAGCAGCAGCCATCTCAGAGCAGTTGAAACTTGCCATGGATTTAGGCATGAGCTTGAATACCAAGGAACAGCGTCCATACATGTTACCTTGTAGGTTACCAGTTTCTATCCGGTGCAGAGCAGGGCTTACATAACCTGCAGTTGCCTGGTAAAGGGCTAGCCCAGGGAAGACAACTGCCTCTTGGGGACCAATATCACCATCTACAAGTATCCAACGCCCATGAAAGTCTCTTATATGTAAACCTGCTTTATCTGACTTAACAACAGTGATCAAGCTTTTATCAGCTTGATGATCATGGTCAGGAAACATAACTAGTTGTCCATCCTCCTGTGTAGTCAAACCATGGCGTTGTGCTCCCTGGAACGATGGCCTTGAATGACAACAGACTGTCAGAACTGATGATGAAATTTCCCGACTTCTTAAGGGTACATTGTCAAGAATTTCAGTAAATGGAGAACTACGTAAATTCAAGGAAAAGCTGATAGCATCCAAGATATCCCTAGCTGCCTTTCCAAGTAATGCAAATACGTCAGGCAAACCAGCAGGAGGTAACTCCATAGTGTTGTTAGGCTCAGTAGGAGTCAGGCCTGGTCTGTAATCATAGGTTTCTTGCCAAAGTTGAGGATCTGCATAATAACCAGATGTCTTGCACCATTCACGGGAATCATTTGTATGAACCATTTCTGCAGCTGAATATGATGATCTTTGATGGAAGTAAAGGCGAGCAGAATCCAGCCCAGATCTTAAAAGGGCCCCATCATTCCCTGGCAACTGAATAATGGCAGCAGAATACTGTGCTAGAGATTGTGATAAAGTTGACACAGATATTTTATAGGAATCAGAAGGGAGACCTTCAGATGCTATCAGATCAGTGAGTTTAACACGACCAAGAGATGGCAGGTTGTTGCCTGCCATAGCACCCATTCAAGAACACAGTTCACCTGCATAGATGAAGTAGAGTTTGTACAGACGATCCTCCATAACCATTAGCATGCAGGAAGTCAATTAGACATTAGACAGTAAATGTCTTATTTATCAAACTCAATGCACATGGAATATTAAGAATATAATAATTCAGCAGCTCAGAGGAAAGGGTGACAGACCATAAAAAATGCAAATACAATCACAATTGATTATTCACTTTGAACTTCTGTGTCCTACAAACATAATAGTCTTTTCTTTTCAGGTAAAATTTGGGAGCAGAAAGCCCAGAAGATTTCAAACTCACTAGTTTGATGAGCAACCTCTAATAAGGTTATCTGCAACGTCCTCCCTACAAGACTTCAAAAAGGTTCTAGGATCAAACATCAGATTTAATTTATAATGATTGTCTGGAAGATATAGGAGACTGGGATGAAAAGTTTGCAAGCTGAATTTGGAAAATAGCTTACAACTTTTTGGATTGCCCTTTTGTGAATCTTTCCTTGAAAAACCATGCTTTGAGGTTAATGGGAGAAGGTGGTTCCAGCATAGTTGTCAAGGTGCTACATCAAGGCTGAACAACAACAGGGCACATTGTCACCTAAGAAATGAATTTTATATAGAAAATTTGCTTGATTTTACGCTTGTTTTCTTATCTTTTATGAAGTGTTATGTTTCTCTAGTTAGTTAGCAACTAGAAAACATTAGAAGTGAACCAACACAAAAAAAAGTAAGCCTGTGAATGTAGCAAGACATATTGAATTTGGTTGTATTTAAGTTTTCATTCAGGGAGGGTGGTTACAAGGGTATATTTGTAATGTTGACAAATTTTGGGGACTTGTATGTATTTATGAGAGGAGAGGGGCCTAAGTGAAATTCTGATAATTGAGTGTTTTTCTTATTTAAGCCATTGGTTGTGTGGGATTAGGGTTGAGTGAGAGCGGATATTTCATTCTGAGTCTATAGAGAGATCAGCCATGTATCTCTTGTTCTCATAGTAGATGTTTTTCCCTCTATGTGGATGTAGACTATCGAGCTGAACCACGTTAAATCTTAGTGTTTTCCCCATTTCTTCTTCCTATTTTCTTCTTGATTTATTATTTATTCTCTTTCCTTGTGGCTGACAGTGAAAAACTAGGGAATGGATGTTTTTGGTTAATGCAAAAGGGAGATACAAAGACAATGTACAGCTGTGCTAAGTCAAAGAAAAGAATAAGACAAACATATAATGCAACAGACAACTTTTGAATGTGATAGAGATATATACAAGAGAAATGTGCAAGTGTGTTAAATGTAGTGAAGGTAGGAGAAAACAAAAGCCCTGCTATCAAATGCAGCAGAGAATAGAGGAGAGAATGTGCAAGTGAGTTAAATGTAGCAAAAAGAGAAATATTGAACGGGATAGATGCTTATCTGGTAACAATTAGAAAGATATAGAGAAATTATTATAAAGGGAAATATTGAAAGAGATAGACCCTTATCTGGTTACAATTAGAAAGATAATAGAGAAAATATTATAAAGGATTTAAAAAAGAAAAAAAGAAGAGGCAAAACCCATTTTGTGGATCTCTAAGATGAAAATTAGACTTTTATGATGCCCATTTTACACTTTTTACCTTATTTATGCAAATATGATATGGTTTAGCTGCACTCCATATGACATTATTACACCTCCCAAATTCAAGCACCAAGCAAACAAAAGTACCTTATTGCCTAGGCATCACTTATGTGACCAAGGTATCACCTTGACAACTACTGTTAAGGGATGCTTATTCATCATTCAGTTCTCTATTCTACTGAAGGAATCAACTAGTTGTGCAGAGAAGATAAGGTTAAGAAAAGGAGACCTATCTGGTTTTCAGTTTATTTTGGTAGCAGATGTCTTTAGTCACCTTACCAGGGCAGATAGTTTGGGCCTGATTAGGGACTTGAGTGTTAGGACAAATCATGTGGCAATGTCTAGTCCTTGGTATTCCATGGATTTATTGGTGCTTTTGAAAGAACCTTGAACCTCAGGGTTAACTTTAACAAACGTACCTTGCTGGAATCAATTTGGAGGAGACTGTAATGGAAAATTACTCAACATTACTTGCTTGTGCTCCTCTTCTTCCAACATAGAATACCAAGGACTTTCTTTAGGAGGTGGGCCTAGAGTGTGACATTTTAGACTTGGAGTAGTACAAGTTACAAAGAAACTTACCTCATGAAAAAGAATTTATAGGACTTTAAGACAATATATCACTTTAATCTCCATTTTTTTCTGATTTTCAAATTCATTTTCTTCTCTTTCATCAAGCTTATGCTGGTAAACACAAGACATCTCCCTTGCAATACATCTGATTTCCTTCAAAGCATGCCTGTGATTCCATACTTCAAGGATCTTGCTCATCAGCCACCTGATCACTAATTGGGAATCACCTTCAGCCACCAATTTCCTGAATCTCAATTGTTTTGCTAGTCTCAACCATTGTAGAAGTGCCGAAATTTCTGCACGAAATGAATCAGCATGGCCAATTGGTCCAAAGAAAGAGCCAATATGGACAGACCCAAGTCCACCCAGTCACTAATTGGGAGGCGCATCTCCAGGTGAGATGCCCCCAAATCACCCTGAGGCGTATAACAGAGGCGTTGATACCTCTGAGGTGTACACCTCATACGCCTTTTGCATGAGGGTGTACTAGAGGCGTACACTTCGACTTCATGTGCCTCACGCACAACTCATACAAAAAG